ATTTTAAATAATAAGAACAAAAAATAATCTTTTAAGAAATAAAATTGTCTATTTAAATATTTTCAATAAACACATTTTCTATTATCAAAATTACTCAAACAAATCTATTTAGAATCCTAATAAGTATATTACTATTATAAAAGTAAATAGTTCTTATTAGAAACATTTTTTAACCTATACTATCCTCTAATGGCATTTTTTAATATGTCAATAAAGCATCTTCCATTTATTTTCTGTAAGTGCAAACTTCATTTCTTCATGTCCTTGATAGTGACAGATCAGTATTTCGAAGAATGATAAAAATAAATAAATTTATAAATAAAACAGACTAAAATTTCTGCTCCACTTTCCTGAAAAATTTTAAACAAAATTCTGTATAAAGCACAATTTTAAGTAAGTTCTGTGTCATGTAATGTGTTATATTTGTTAACTAAGTTTTAATAAATAACTTGAATAAACTTAAACATATTAAATAAATCATATTTTTATACAATACTTTTATGTACTGTATAAAAATTTATGATATATTAGAAATTACTATATTAATTACTATATAAGAACAATTAAAATATCACTTTTAATTGTCTTAATATATCATAGTAATTAATGTGTAAATTACACAACTTGAGATTTATAAATTCATAAGAATATGTTCATTTAGAATATTTAATAAGAATTCATATAAATTAATTTTAATATAGTAATTCATACTGAATCCATAATTTAACAATTAAATAATGTTTGAAAACTTCATTACTTTTCTAAATAAAGTGCTGTTTCTCATAACTTAATTAAACAATAAATACAATACTATAATGCTTTACCTATTGCATATATAGAACATATGCAATTATGGTAAATTACAACAATTTCTTGTATAACTGAAACAGAATTTAGATTGATCAATTAACTGAAAAACACTCAACCAACTATGAGGAGTATTAATAACACAGTAAATAGAGCATTTATAACAGTTTCACTTGTAACTATGACATTTTCCTGTTTGTGCTTTAAAACTACTTTCCGAAATTAAATTCAAATAATATTAATAATAATAATAAATCAATAACAATTTACTAAAATCATTCACAGATTTTATAAGCAATAAGAGTTAAAAACTTAAAATGTTATATCATACAGTAATTTCTTTCAATTTAGATAAATAATAAATATTAAATTTTTGCTGATATGTCTGAACATTTAATACAAAATTTATTACAGTTACTTAAAAACATTTCTTCAAAACTTTAAAACCCTCAAACAATGTTCTCAATAAAAAGTTTTCTTGAATTAATATTTATATTAATAATGGAATTACATTTAATTTAATTTTTTTATTTTTTTTAATATAAATAAAATATCTAAGAATTTTTTTATTATAGTTAAAACTAAAAATATATATAATTTATAAGAAACACACAATGAACAATTAAATCCTAAAAATTCAAGTAAAAGTATTATTTTTGTTATTTCACTAATTTATATAAAAAATACCTAACAAGGAGCAAATTAAAATGGTTTCTGTTAACATAAATATTTATAATATTATGTTAATTTTCTGTATTTTACATATATAATTAATAAATTCAACAATAGAAATTGCCTCTTCTCTACTTTTAATTGAAACTAACAAATCATTTCATATTTAAGCATTATATTATTAATTTATTATAATTTTATATAACTTTCACTTATACAGTATAATTATAAAAGTAAGGTATACAAAATATTTTATTAATAAAACATAACTGTAATTAAAAAAAAATACTGTTCCTTTTACATTACTTGTTGTTAATACATGTACTGTACAAATGTTAATTTTTATATAAAATTTAATTAAATTGTTAGTTTAATCTACCATAGGAAGTTAAAAATAAATTTAAAATTTTTGTTGTAAAACTGATAGTATATGATTATTTTGTCAAATATAAATTAATAATTATTTTATTAATAATGCAACAAAACATTTTAATGTTAGATACACAGCAATTTACATTTTTCTGAAAAATCAATATATTACTTAAAGGGAAACAAATCCAAACTGGTAAAATGTAGATCTAAATCACCTCAGTAACCTTCGTTTTATTCCAGTAATATCTTAAAGGCTTACCCTGAAATTGGAACAACATAGAAATACATCTGTCTATTTTTTGAATATTAAAATCAAATATAAAGAAGGGGTATACATTCCAATGTGTATTATAAACCAGAATACATTCTTTTATTCATTCCAGCTCACTTGAATGATCCATTTAGATATAAAGTAGCTGCTTTTAGATTGTTAGTTAGGAGGGCATTTACCATTGCAGCAGTATGAAGGATATGATTATAGAACTTAAGCAGATAAAGAAAATAGTTTACCACATAGGTACTCAATAAAACTTACAGAACAATTAACACTAAAATATATATATATGACAAGATACCGCCCCAAGGCAGAAAACATATCCCAGCTGAGTCTAAGAACATAGTGGTGGAATATGACAAGAAGCTGAAACCAATATACAAAGGAATTACATGCAATGGAAAAAAGAAGCTGATATACAAAAGAGGCAGTACTATATATCAAATGCTGCAAAATGATAAGGATATCATAGCACCTGGAGTTTATAGTATACCAGTAAAAGATGAAAGATTTGACAACGATTTAATTTACTGTACATTGAAGCCACAAATATATCTCTTAGAAGCAGGATTAAAGAACACAAATGTAATATTGAAAAAGAAAAACAAACAACAATGCTATCCATATATGCCTCAAAGCCAGGAATCAAAGCTAAATTAGAGCAAGCAGCACTGATTAAAAAGTGTTTTACTAGAGAAGAAATTAAATTTTTAGAGATGTTAGAAACATAGACAGCCTTGAAGAGAGATTGCATTAACATATGAGATGCAGATTCATTATCATATGCTTGGAAAACTTTTTAGATAATCCTGACAAAAGATTATAACAACAACTCAACCCATAGGATGTTAATATAAAATTAAATAAAATACATTAGTTGTAAAATGTAATTAGGTTAAATTTAAATTTTGTAAGTTGCAACAATATTTGAAGTTTGAATTGAAATTGAAGATAAAATGCAAAAAAACAAACATTCTAAATGGAACACATACAACTGACCTGAAGCAAGACAGTCAAGCTGTTCGAAAATGTTCATCATTTATAAGATAATACTGGAATAAAACAAACGTTACTGAGGGATTTAATCATTATATTACAGTAATTATTTTAATAAGTTTTAGAATTTTCAGAAATTAATCTACTAGAACTTTTAATTTGTTCATTAGTAAAAACAAACTTTTTTCCTTCATGTTACTCAACAATTAACATAAATTTAAGATATTTTAGAATAATTATTGAAATTTATATATATTAAATTTTTTTGTTATAAATAATATAGATATAAACATAAATTTATTGTACAAATATATAATTATATAAACAAACAAACCTAAACAAATTAATATTTTCCAAATATAAATGTTTTTACTTTTTTAAGTTAAAATTTATTCATATAAAATAGCACCCTAAATATAATTTTTTTAATCCATAATGATATGAAATTTATTTAACCAATTTTTTACATTTTATCTTGTTGAAACATACGACATTAATGTTTATATTTATATATCAACCTCACTAATTTCAAAAAATATATAGAGCATATCTTTAAAATTACAACTCTGATGAGTCACTGTAAGCCAGTATTTTATTACATATGGTTAAGATTAAAAGTATCACAATATCTAACAGAAGTTATTTTATATTATTTATTACTGTTTTAATATGTTCCAAAATATAAAATATATTGTATATGTTTTTAAGTCATTAGATTATTGAATCATTTATGCTATCTTTTATAATTATAATAATATAACAATAATAATATTGTTATAATAATTATACTGTAATTTTATTTCAAACTTTATAAGCAAAATAAAGTTTCTTTCAATTAAATCACTGTTTAAATAATTAAAATAAATAAACTAAATACTTTTCCATTCTATAAATAATTTTTGTTTCATAATAAACTGCAATTTTTCAAGCTGAAAAATTAGAAATTATATGTTATTTCAATTTATTATTTAAACTTTTTTTTTTTTTTCAAAAATAAGTTCTTAAAAATATAATTATAGAAATTAATACGTGTATACGTTATTTATTTTAGTTTAATTTTATTTTAATAAACTTTAAAGCATAATTATTTTTAATACAATTATTAAGATCAAATTTCTGGAATTTTATATTATTGAATGTAGTAATCATTTTCAGTACTTGAAGCAAGATAATTAAATATTGACATTCTTCTTCAATCATACTGATTGCTTATTTTTAGTTATATTTATTGGATTAAATCAATCCATGTAATTAATTTATAAGTTTTTGGATTTAATATAAACTTTTATTTTGTTTTAAAAAGCATATTCTTGTTTTTACAATTCTTAAAATAGTACAAGTGAAAAATGTATGATATTTTTTGTAATTCAAATATAAATCCTGAAGCTATACAAACAATAAGACATCATCAAAATATGTTGTATTAACCAGGTTACAGATGAATCTTATAAATTAAAACATTCAGCAGCAATTTTTGTTAAATGTATTACTTAAATGTAAACGAAATAAATACACTGAATACATCCTCATTAAAACTGATTGAATTGTCCTTGTTATAACCATGTAACTTTAATTATAACTCTGTAAAATTTTAAATTAATCAAATGATTTAAACTAAATTCAAATCAGCCAATAAAATTTATTATAATGTTTTGATGATATATAAACACAAATAACAAAAGTAATTATTGGATAAATATTTACAAATTTAAGTCTTTAATCATCCAATCAGTTTATTTATATCGGATATACATCACAATGTATCTCTATGTATTAACCAAAAAAAATTGAATTGTATAACAATATTACTATTTTGAAAATTAATCGTAACACGAAGCTAGTTTAATACAAATTGTAAATAATAATATATCGTACTTACAGATCATTTGTGCGAGCGGAGACTCTCCTCTTACCAGTATTGTCAACACTGCCATTCAATTTTTCCATTCATCGCCAAGGGGTCTCCACTGTCGTCTATCGCTATATTACATGCGCATACAACCAATAGCCAAACCTCTGTAACTTCCAAAGGATAAAAAAAAAATATTATATNAATATATCTATTGGAAAGATATAAATATTATATATAAACTGCTTAATATACTAGTGTAAAAATAATTAAACAATTCACTTAAAATGTTTATTTTCTATTTAAATTTTTCTTTTTTTAAAAATCAGTATACACATCTTTTAGAAATTCAAATAAAACAAATTTTATTTTACTGGTATATAAGTTTAGACTTTTAAAATCAGTAAGAATTTATAACAACAATACACATATAAAACAAAATTAAAGACTATCTAAATAATTTCTTAAAATTAACATATTTCATTAAGAAAGCAAAAAAAATATTTTTGAAATTAAATGAAGTTTCAAACTTTATAGCAAAAGTCATGTCTAAAATTATTCACTAAACTGATAAGTTTTATATGAATATTTGACTATCAGTGAGCAGTGTCCTACTTTATTATTGATTTTGAATTTTAGTTCTTTACCCTCATATTACGTTCATTACAAAAACAAAATATAATATTTATTTAAAAAATAACACTGTATTAAGCAACTTTAGTTTTGATAGATCTTAATGAAAACAAAAGTTATGATTTAAAAAAAAAGCAAAAATATACAAAAGAATATTCCACTGTAAAAATGATAACAGCACTTTTTTTCCAGTTACAAAAATATATACATTTATAGTGTAAACAACTATATATATATACTGTACATACATGTATATATTGTTATATATATGTGTGTGTATGTATAAAATAAACAATTTAAAATTATTTTATTGATAATTATGATTCATTAAATTAACAAATTATAAAATTGTCTTAAATTTGTAGTTTAATAATCAGATTTAATTGCTCTACAAAAAATGAAATCTGAAATAAAAATAAGTTTTTGGAAAAGTATTGACATCAGCAAATTAGCTTACAATTCACTTTAACAAAAATAAAGTACTGTTAGAGAAAAGAAAAAGTAAATATCTTAATGCTTTGCTAATAGATAAAAATTTTAAGGAATTTATTAACTTTTTTAGCTGTAAATGATATTTAGTTGTAGTTTATCAAATTAAAATAACATTAAAATAAAAGAAAAATTTTAATAAATATTAAAAATTTAATTAAAATAGATTACTGTATACAGAAAAATTTGCATTTTAAATGCACATAATTTCACAGAAATTTGTATTATACATTAATTATAGGTACAAAAATAGAAACTGTTTGTATAGAAACTACAAAATTTAAGAATATAATCGAGCAATATAGTTGGAATTAATGAAGACATATTTAATAAATTCTTTATTTTTTATATTTTCATTGAATTTTTTTAAAATTTCTTCAATTTTTAAAACAATCTTTTAATATATTTAATTAAGATGAAATGGCATTAATATAGTTATTTTAAATAATAAGAACAAAAAATAATCTTTTAAGAAATAAAATTGTCTATTTAAATATTTTCAATAAACACATTTTCTATTATCAAAATTACTCAAACAAATCTATTTAGAATCCTAATAAGTATATTACTATTATAAAAGTAAATAGTTCTTATTAGAAACATTTTTTAACCTATACTATCCTCTAATGGCATTTTTTAATATGTCAATAAAGCATCTTCCATTTATTTTCTGTAAGTGCAAACTTCATTTCTTCATGTCCTTGATAGTGACAGATCAGTATTTCGAAGAATGATAAAAATAAATAAATTTATAAATAAAACAGACTAAAATTTCTGCTCCACTTTCCTGAAAAATTTTAAACAAAATTCTGTATAAAGCACAATTTTAAGTAAGTTCTGTGTCATGTAATGTGTTATATTTGTTAACTAAGTTTTAATAAATAACTTGAATAAACTTAAACATATTAAATAAATCATATTTTTATACAATACTTTTATGTACTGTATAAAANAAAGTATATATTGTTAAAAGGAATTTGGATAAAATTTTTCAAATTGATAACAGAAAATTTTACTGATTTACTGTTATGAATATAATAAATTTAATGCGATAAATCTTTAAATATAATTAATATATTTTCCAAATATTACAATATACATTTGTAATATACTTGTAATACTCGTGATAAAATTAAAGAATTTGAAATTTAGTCATGAATACTTTTGCCTTTATATTAAATACTAGACACTGTATAAAATTCTAAGAAATATCTGTAAATAAATTATAATAAAGAGAAAAATATAAAAATATTGAATGAAAGAATTCCCGCTAAAAGTGATTCACGACTCCCCAAAAAATAAATATAATTATTTAAATAATATTACTTTGTTAGTTATCTACTATGTGATATCAACTTGACATATTTACTACATACTCATATATCAAAATATTTGGAGAATATATTATTTTCAAGATTATAATGTCGCGCTAAAATATTGCAATTTAAAAATATATAAATATTATTAATATTTTAGTCACCGAATTGAAACGTTTACATTAATCTAACAGTTTTACAAGCGATGGTTTATTTCATTTTTCCTTCGAACAATTTTATGCGATGGAATTTAAGAGGTCAACATCCTAACAGAGAGGCCAAAGTTGTACGAAGATTCAGTTTACGCGGAATAAAGCCAAAATATTCACGCGTATATTATTTAAGGAAGTGCAAACATTATTTTTTAAAATGTTAAAAATTCTATAACGGATTTGTCAGCACGTTGTGCTAGTATTTTTCCCGCATATATAAAAAGAAATATATCGAACTATGTAATTATATTTTATCAATAGCCATCGAGAACGACGGCATTTCCATGAAACTCGAATTGCAATATCAAAGTGATTCGTTACTTCTACGATTAAAGCGTAAACGTTTTCTTTTTATTTTTTAAAAAACGAATTAAATTTTAAAAAATACGTCTTAAATTATAACAAGTGCGAGATTTATTAGTTACGTCACAAAATTCAAAAACGTTATTAATCGTATTAAAACGTACAATTTTTATTTTATTAAATTTAAAGTTAATAGAAGATAAAACACATTATTTACTTAAAATAAATCACAATTCTAAAAAAAATAAATAAAAAATTATTGATCGAATTCGAAATTTGGCAACCTTCCTATTTTACTAAACAACGCATGCGTTGGAATTGTAATAGTACAGTCGCGTTGTTTGGGGCGTTTTGTGACGTTTTGCTGTTCTGCTTTTCCTAATATATCTATATATATATAAATATTATATACAGAATTTTATTTATGAAAATATACTAGCATTTCCTCACTTTACAAATATTTAACTAATACATCATTATATAAATAATCATAATAGAAATCTTGTTTTTGAATGAAGTGAGTATTTACACTTTGAAATTTAATAATAATAATAATATTTTATAAAGTTAATTTATAAGCTATATGTTAATTATCATTTATGAATTTTTGTCTTATTTGCTTTGTTTTCAGATTCATAAAGGGGCATAACTCACACATATATTAGTTTGTTTATGAATTTAAAATACATTTCCTTCTGATAAATACACATTGTTTACATTTTTCTACTAAAGTAAATTAAATCACATATTCAAGTCATAAATTACTGTGACATAAAATCTCACTAAACCAGGCCAACAACTATCAAAACAGTTTATCTTGTTTATAATGAAGATTACGCTTCATACTGATTTGATAAGTTATATCTTTGCATTTAAACAGTTAACTTATTATACGTAAGATATAACTTTAAAGATTGTTGTCATTTTCGTAATAATGCAATTGCAAAATTTACCAAAAAAAAAAAGTTTTACATACAATGAAAGCTTTAACTACCAGTAACAAATAGTGTTGGGTTTTTTAATGAATTCCAAATTGGAATGTTGGAATGATAATTTTCAATAAAACAATTTTAAATTTCTATTAACACATAATATGGGCTCTGGAGAAGGCCAAAAAAATTCGTTTTAGTTAATATTTGTTACCGGTAGTTATGGTTTGGTTGTATGTGATACCTCCAGTAATTTAGAAAGGAGATAGTTTTAATGATAAAGTTTGCAATTGGGTATTGTAAAAATTGAAATAATGAAGTTTAAGTAAAATTTAAGATGATATACTTTATATTTTTAAAAGGTTATATATACATATTATTTGGCAAGTAATCAAATATACAATTTTATTTTATATGTAAATAAAGAAATACTGATTTCAGGAAGGTAGCTTTTCTTAACTTTTAGAAGAAACATTTTCTTCTATGCAACATTATTTTAAACATAAGATTGTAGGTTGAGGGTGATCAAATCCTGACCAAAAACATTTCTTTTAATTAATAAAAGTTGACTACTTGAAGTTGGTACTGATTTATTTATTTATTTACAAAGATAGTGGCAGGTTCTACAACTTATTTTAGTAATAATTATATTAAATATTTTAACCAGTAAAAAAAAATTAAAATATAGACTTTTAAAAAATGTATTAATTAAATAAATAATTATAAATTTAGAATATAACCTAAAGTGTCATAATTTTGCATTATAATAATAAATTTACATAGTATTGAATAAATTTATAGTAGATATGTTTTCTAAATGATGATCATTAAAAATAAAGCAAGTGATATATACACTAAAAATTTATTATTTGTAATAAATTGTTTGACTTGTATTTTCTTAAAAATAGTTACCATGAAAGATTAGAAATAACTGCCAACAATAATAAATAGCACTGAAGGTAATGTAAAGACAAAAGTAATCTATTCTTTGTCATCAGTCTTAATTTTATTGTTTTGAAATATGACAAAAATCCTAAAATATAGAAAATAATTCTGTAAAATTTCTTATAGTCAAAGCTATTAAATACAAATTGTTTATAATGTTTTTATTATTTGATAGTATCTTTCTTTGCTAAATAAGTAGCTGAACTTATAATTTTGCAATATTTTATTATAGTTGGAATGCAATATAGATTTTTCTATTCATATTTTATGCTGTATGAAAACATTTTAAATGCTTTTTTTAATCATTAAATAATATAGCTCATTAAAAGTTT